CCCTCCTCTCTCTCTCTCTCTCTCTCTCTCTCTCTCTCTCTCTCTCTCTCTCTATCTATCTCTATCTATCTAGATAGACGCTGTCTAGGGGTGGGTGGGGCAGAAATCTAATAAATAAATAAATATATTTGTATTTGTGAGATGCTGCAAGATTCCTTCTCATTATTTGTGAAGCAGAATACATTCCTGGTAAAAAACTAAACAAACAAACAACTCCGCAAGAAAGAAGGAATATGTGTACCCATATGAAGTCAGATGTGGGCTGAGGTCACTGGCAAAGGCTCCACCAAGCAGCCCCTGCCATCTGAGGATGAGGTAGGAGGTAAATGAGGAGAGGACCTTCTAGCTGGAAGTGCCCCTACTTATATAAAAAACCACACTATCCATAGAAAGGTTTGCTTGGCACTCATGCTGTTCTCTTGCAGGGGCCAGGGGAAGAGTTTGTTAACACTTCATGCCTGAAACCTACTTTGACTGCTGCTTAATTGCAGGTTTCATTATGATTGATTGGTTTTGCTGCACAGTATTGATTTTATTGCATTAATTTCACTGTTTATATTTTAGACCCTGATGTTGGAAAAGTGTGAAGGCAAGAGGAGAAGGGGATGACAGAGGACGAGATGGTTGGACAGTGTCACCGAAGCTACCAACATGAATTTGACCAAACTCCAGGAGGCAGTGGAAGACAAGAGGGTCTGGTGTGCTCTGGTTCATGGGGTCACGAAGAGTTGGACACGACTAAATGACTAAACAACAACAAAAGCCGTGGGAGTCTTTATATAAATATACTATACTTTGTCAGGCATGCTGAACATATGTCCAAGACAGAAGGAAATTGAAAGAGGGGATGTATTTTATAATTAGTCACGATTTCCTGACAGAGTTGGAGTAACTTAGATTTAAATTAAACATGAATATAAGCTGATATTTAGAGGATAATCAAACGGTTAAAAAAAGTATAAAGTGTTTTTTTGCATTGAAAAATGAATAGATTAGATGCTTGTATACTTAATATGAATAGATTGGATGATTGTATACTTTGTGTTCTCCTATCCTTAAGACCCTTTTCCCATCCCTTCCACTCCCTTTTATGTTCTGTATTCCCCACCCTTTTCCTAGTAGTTTAAAAATAAAATATTTTTTTAAAATGCTCCAACTAGCGTACAATTGCACTCATTTCACACACTAGCAAGGTTATGCTCAAAATCCTATAAGGATTCAGCAGTATGTGGACCAAGAACTCCCAGAAATACAAGCTGGATTTCGAAGGGGCAAAGGAACTAGAGACCAAATTGCTAACATGTGCTGCATTATGGAGAAAGCCAGAGAGTTCCAGAAAGCATCTACAGTACTTCTGCTTCATTGACTACGCAAAAGCCTTTGACTGTGTGGACTACAGCAAACTATGGCAAGGAATGCCTGACCACCTTATCGCCTGAGAAATCTATATGTGGGACAGGAAGCAACAGTTAGAACTGGATATAGAACAACTGATTGGCTCAAAATTGGGAAAGGAGTACAACAAGGCTGTATGTTGTCTCCTTGCTTATTTAACTTATATGCAGAATACATCATGTGAAAGGCTGGACTGGATGAACCCCAAGCCTGAATTAAGATTGCCGGAAGAAATATCAACAACCTCAGATATGCAGATGATACCACTCTGATGGCAGAAAGTGAGGAGGAATTAAAGAACCTCATAATGAGGGTGACAGAGGAGAGTGCAAAAAAATGGTCTCAAGCTCAACATCAAAAAAACTAAGATCATGGCCACTGGCCCCATCACCTCCTGGCAAACAGAAGGGGAAGAAATGGAGGCAGTGACAGATTTTTGTTTCTTGGGCTCCATGAACACTGCAGATGGTGACAGCAGCCACGAAAGCATTAAAAGATGACTGCTTCTTGGGAGGAAAGTGATGACAAACCTTGACAGCATCTTAAAAAGCAGAGACATCACCTTGCCAACGAAAGTCCGAATAGTCAAAGCTATGGTTTTTCCAGGAGTGTTGTATGGAAGTGAGAGCTGGACCATAAAGAAGGCTGACCGCTGAAGAATTGATGCTTTTGAATTGTGGTGCTGGAGGAGACTCTTGAGAGTCCCCTGGACTGCAAGGAGAACAAACCTATCTGTTCTGAAGGAAATCAACCCTGAGTGCTCACTGGAAGGACAGATCCTGAAGCTGAGGCTCCAATACTTTGGCCATCTCATGAGAAGAGAAGACTCCCTGGAAAAGACCCTGATGTTGGGAAAGTGTGAAGGCAAGAGGAGAAGGGGATGACAGAGGACGAGATGATTGGACAGTGTCATCGAAGCTACTAACATGAATTTGACCCAACTCTGGGAGGCAGTAGAAGACAGGAGGGCCTGGCGTGCTCTGGTCCATGGGGTCACAAAGAGTCGGACACGACTTAATGACTAAACAACAAAAAGGAGGATATTTCATCAATCGGAATAAACAGCACCGCATATCAATTTTATTCCCATGCAAAAGTTTATTCTGTACTTGTTTACAGTAAAGGACTCTGGAATGAATAAATGCACAATTAAATCTTTTGGAGTTTTTCTTCTGTGCTCATTATGACTGGATATGTGCAAAAAAAGCCTTGGGTCTGGTTATGCATATTGAATGGCTTACGAGTCAGCTGCCCTGCCTTGCAACTGCATTCTATCTGCATGGATAGCACTCGACCCCACTAGCAAAAATGGGGCAGTCTACCCTCCCCATGTGCACAGGGAAGCATGCCAGGACAGAGGAGAATTGGGATTGGAAGTTTTAGACGTGTGCATAAAAGCCAAGCCGTTCTGCATAACCAT